TTTTTTAGCATATAATGTATTATTTGTTTCAGAGGTACAGGTCTGTGATTCAACAGTCTTACACAATTCACAGTGCTCACCATAGCCCATACCCTCCCCATTGTCTATCACCCAGCCACCCCATCCCTTCCATCCCCCATCACTCCAGCAACACTCAGTTTGTTTCCTGAGATTAAGAATTCCTCATATCAGTGAGGTCATATGATACATGTCTTTCTCTGATTGACTTATTTCACTCAGCATAACACCCTCCAGTTCCATCCACATTGTTGCAAATGGCAAGATCTCATTCCTTTTGATGGCTGCATAATATTCCATTGTGTATATATATATATATATATATATATATATATATACACAATATATATATATACAATATATATATATATCACATCTTCTTTATCCATTCATCTGTTGATGGACATCTTGGCTCTTTCCATAGTTCGGCTATTGTGGACATTGCTGCTATAAACATCGGGGTACATGTACTTTTGTATCCTCGGGATAAATACCCAGTAGTACAATTGCTGGATCATATGGTAGCTCTATTTTCAACTTTTTGAGGAACCTCCATACTATTTTCCAGAATGGCTGCACCAGCTTGCATTCCAACCAACAGTGTTGGAGGGTTACCCTTTCTCTGCATCCCTGCCAACATTCTTCCATGTTTTCTTATAAGAGTTTTATAGGTTTAGTTAGATTTTAGGTCTTTGATCCATATACAGTTAATTTTTGTGCATGGTATGTGTTAAGGGTTCAATTTAATTCCTTTCTGTGTGGACCCAGTTTCACAGCACCATTTTTTGAAACACTTGTCTTTATCCCATGACTACTCTTGGCACCCTTGTTGAAAATCATTGAATACATATGCAAAGCTTTATTTCTAGGCTCTGTATTTTATTCCATTACTGTGTCTGCTTTTATGCCAATATCACACTGTTTTGATTACCATAGGCTTGTAGTAACTTTTAGAACCAGGAAGGTTTTCAACTTTGTTCTTTCTTTTTTTTTTTTTTTTTTCATTTCCTATATTGTCTTCTCTGTTTGGGTTCCTTGAGATTCCATGTCAGTTTTAGGATGGATATTTCTGTTTCTGAAAGAACATTTTCTGGGGGGATTTTTATAGGGATTACATTGAATCTATAGATCAGATTAGGTAGCATTGACATCTTAATGTCATGAACTATATCAATTCATGAAAATCTTTCCATTTATTTGTGTCTTTCAGACTATCTCTCAGCAACATCTTGTAGTTTTTCTCTGTAGAAGACTTTTGCCTCCTTACTTAAGTTTATTCTTAAATATTTATTCTTTTTGATGCTGTTGTAAAAGGAATTGTTTTCCTAATCCTCTCTGGGTTGTTCATTGGTAGGATAGAAATTCAATATATTTTCATGAAAAAAGGAGCCTCTCAACAAATTGGGTAGAGAAGGATTGTAACTCAATATATAAAGGCCATATATGACAGATCCACATTTAATATCACATTCAACAGGGAAAGGTTGAAAGGTTTCCCACTCTAATCAGGAATAAGATAAGAATGCCCACTCTCATCCCTCTTTCTCACAAAAGCATTGGAATAAAAATCCCTGTGATATTTTTATCAATTTCTTCATATAGGTCATGCCATTGGTGAAGTGAGATCATTTTACTTACTTAATTTTTACTTAAAATTACTAGCTATAACAGTGTTTCTGATGATAGCCACTATCTATCCTTTGGATCTCAGTTTAAGCACCACCTTTGAAGAAAGGCCTTCCCTGAGCACCTTCTCCATAGTAAAATTCTTCCTGAGTACCCTGTTTGCTGTCTTACTAGTACTGAAAAGATTATAATTAGTATACTAAATTGTACCCTTATTTATTGTCTGATTCTATTATGAGAATAGAGGGTCCTTGCAGGAAGGACCTTTTGCATAATTTTTTCCCCTATTTCATTAATTACTGTGTCTTCACTCATAGTATGGTTCCTGGCAGTAAGTAAGAGCACCAAATTAAAAAAAAATAATTGGGTAGTTATTATGTCTAAATCTGTGAATAAATATCTAGAACATCAAACACACTTCAAGGCACATAAATTGATTATTAAATGAAAGGAAAGAAAAACTTGCTATGACAAGTGGGAAAATATAAATAAGTTTTCTCTAACACAACATGACAGGGCTGAAATTTTATTCTTGACTGGCAGTAGTCTTACAATGGTTCTAAAGCTATTTTTTTAATGTAACATCTTTCTGAGCCCAATTATGTGATTTGACCTAATACCATATTCATATAGATATTTTTATGGTTTTTGTGGAAATCCCGGAGAATTTAATTAAGCAGTAATCAGTCTTGGACACGTCCCAATTCTAGGACTTAGTAAGGAGTTTGGTTAGAAGGCATAAAATGTCCAGTGATCTTTGCCTGTGTTGGGAAGAAGATGCTATGCTCCTAACAACTGATACACATTTTTTAGGGGGTTTCTGTTAGGCTTAAATTGTTACCAATAAAAAGTATGAGAATGTCTTTTAAACATCAAGTAAACTAACCTGAACAAACCAACAGGACAGAATGAAGATGAATAAAGAGTCGAATGGTATTTTTCTATTTAGAAATTAGATGGAAAGAAATTACTTGAGAAAAATCTCCCTCGGAAATGTCTGGTTGCTATCTTCTTATGTAAGGATAGGAATTCCTTGTCTTTTTGATAAATTATCCTAATGTGCTAAATTTTTGTTTTTCTGTGTGGACCCTGGACATCCTAGGAAGTAATCTACAGTGCAAATAAAAGCAACCTTCTGAATAACCGGAAGACTGCATGGAGAGAGTGGACAGACAATTGAATGAAACAAAATATGTCCTCAAGTAATAACGCAGCGTTTTGCCCTCTCTTGTCAAACTGGATGACAGAAGAATTCCAGGTTCCTGTGAATGAGTAAAAATGTACCTTCAGATAGTGGACTTGTCTTCCTAAGGTAAGACTAACAGTAAATAGTGAAAACCAGGCTTGCAATCGTATTAGTATCTTTATTATGTAAAAGTTAGATCACTTTAGATAAAGCAAACTTGGATTCCAATTTTAGTTTTATCACTTAAAAATAAGTGACCATGGGAAAATTAATTAGATATTCTGAGCCTCCATTTTTCAACTATGAAACGGGGATTATAGTTCCTATTACTGTAATAGGAAATGTGATTCCTTAAGTTGTGAGTGAGTGACTGGAACCCACTGTAGTTATTGTGAGCAGTGGAGTCATAGATCAGAATCAGATTGAAAAAGGATCATTTGGACTGCATCAGGGCCACAAATTGATGGAACCCAGAATGAAAGTGGAGAGATGTTGCAGGAGGCTAGAGCAGTGGGCCAGAAGAAGTGGTGAGGGGAAGGAAATGATCAAGTTTGTGATATATTTTAAGGGGGGTTAATAAGATTTGTTAAAAGTATCAATATGTGATACAAGAGCAAGAATGGCATGGAGGACATGGTGATATTTCTTGTCTGAGCAACGATATGGAAGGTGGTACCATTTATTGAGATGAGAAACACTTGTGTTTATTGGTGAAAATTAAAAATTTAGTTTCATAAGTACTGAATTGATATCCAATTGGAGATATCCAGAGTTGGAGATGTTGCATATATGAAGTTTAAAGATTAAGGCGGAGACACAACACTGGAGTGCTTTCCCACTTATTGGTCAGAAAAAGGGGGCATATCCAACCAAAGATCCTAAGAAAGATGTTTCAAGGAAGACACAATCCAGGGCAGCAACCTTCCATTCCTAGTTTGATACACTCACTTAAATATGTCAGTTACCTTAAAGAGGTCTCAGGTATTTAACTTTTATGACTTTATAAACTGTGTACCTTTGCATGGAATTCCCTTGCCTTCTTTTCTTGTCTTTTCACTTTTCCTTGGCAACTCAGTTAAAGCATTGCTTCCTCTGGGAAGTCTTCTTTGACTGCTGTTTCCCTGTGGCCTTCACACTGTGCAACTATTTTTATAGTGGCACTTATTACATTGGTGATTATTATGTATGTGATCACTGAGTGTTGGAAACCATAGCTTATTCAACTTGGAAATCAGAGTGTCTTTGAAACATGTGACATAAACAGGTACTCCTACCATGATCTTTTAATTGAATGAGTCAATAAAAGAGTAATCTTATAATGCATTTAACAGTTCTCCCCCTTGTTTTGTAGATTACTTGCTTCTCATACGAGAAGTCAGCTCCTATGCAGACTAGATGGAACCAAATAGCAATGTAACTTACTTTGTCCTCTTGGGCCTCACCCAGGATACAAAGGAACAGAAGGTCCTTTTTGTTATGTTCTTGCTCTTCTATATTTTGACTGTGGTGGGCAACCTGCTCATTGTGGTGACTGTAAGTGTCAGTAAGACCCTGGGCTCACCTATGTACTTTTTTCTTGCTAGCTTATCATTTATGGATGTCATTTATTTATCTTCCATTTCCCCCAGATTGATTTCAGACTTGTTGTTTGGGGAAAATACCATATCCTTCCAATCTTGTATGACTCAGCTATTAACGGAGCACTTTTTTGGTGGATCAGAGGTCTTTCTTCTGCTGGTGATGGCCTATGACCGTTATGTGGCCATCTGCAAGCCCTTGCATTATTTGGCGATCATGAGAAAGTGGCTGTGTGTGTTGCTGCTGGTTGTGTCCTGCGTTGGGGGTTTTCTGCATTCAGTAATTCAAGTTAGCACTATTTATGGGCTCCCATTCTGTGGTTCCAATGTCATTGATCATTTTTTGTACCCCTTATTGAAACTGGTCTGTACTGACACGTATGTCATTGGTCTGTTAGTGGTGGCTAATGGAGGAGTGATCTGCAGTATTGTGTTCGTGCTTTTGCTCATCTCTTATGGTGTCATCTTGCACTCTCTAAAGAACCTTAGTCTAGAAGGGAGGCGGAGAGCCCTCCAGACCTGTGGTTCCTACATCACTGTGGTGGTCTTCTTCTTTGTTCCATGTGTTTTCATGTATGTAAGACCTGCTAAGACCTTCTCCATTGACAAATCTTTGAGTGTGTTTTATACAGTCATAACCCCAATGCTGAACCCACTGATCTATGCTCTGAGAAATTCTGAGATGACAAATGCTATGAAGAAGCTCTGGGGAAGAAATGTCATATCTCTTAGTAGATAAGTGTATTATTCACCATGAAGAGAATTATTTGACATTAGGGTCTGAATCTTTTGAATGTAGAAGTCCTCTTAAGCTTGATTCTGACTTCCTTTTTTGAAAGAATTTAAGTAAATTATAATTAAAGTATGAACTGGATGATTATGCTACAATAACAGTTTCCCTTGTGGCTGGAATGTAAGGTCCATAACAGCTTTTTGATCTCTTCACTTAGAAATGTGTAATGCCTTTATAACAAGGAATCCATAATAGGTAGTGAATTACTGAGGACATTTTTATATGATTACACTGATTTTTAATTATTTAAAATTTTTTAAAGAACATTTTTTCTGAGAGGATTATTTTTAGATTCTATCAGTTATTTTATTATATTATTTAAAGTACTTAATGCTATATAGTCTTTGTTAATTTTTGGTTGCTTAATATAAAAATATTTAGACTAATACTTTTAGTTTATATTAGAAAAATTGAAGTGTAAGAGAGAAAAAATGTAATAATGAAAACCTTACAAAAAGAGATAAATTATAGAATAAAGTTCTGTTTAATTTTCAGCGTAGTTCCCGGTTCTCTTCCCCAGAGGAAGTTGCTTGATCTGTATCTTTAGATTCATCAGGTAGTTATCATTAAAAATGCAAGTGTAAATTTAAATATCTGTATGTGAGTCTTTCTAGGTGTATGTAAATGTTTGCTTTACTATAGGACTTTTTATAAATAAAATTTTACTTTTATAATAGTTTTGTTTATGGATTTATTTTTAATATTTAATTGAAGTATAGTTGACATACAATATTATACTGGTTTCAGGTTTGTACCATTGTGATTCAACTGTTATGTACAATATGATAGTGGGTGGGATTAAGTAGGGAGAGAAGTTGTTGAGCAATCCCTCGGAGAGCCCTCATTTTTCCAAACCCCCTGGCTTGGGCTGCCTCTGTTCCCCATGGCAGAATGCCTGGCTTCTAACTTGGCATTTTTGCACCCAAGACGGGGCAGGGATGGAGGCAATGGGCTGGGAGGTCCGGAGCCCTACTGGGTTAACCCTCAGACCTGTCTGAACATCCACTACCCTCCAGGTGGGTCAGGAATTGGGCTGGGGTTTGGGTCAGGTGCTGAGGTGTGGGGGATTCCCGCATGCCTACCTGCCATATGAGTTCTGTAGGGGGACAGCATACCGTGGGCCTCACGTTTGGGTGGGGCCAGTGCCCCAAGGGAGCTTGGAGACCTCTCAGGGGGAGGGCAAGCTAGGAGCAGAGGTGGAGAGACAGCTCTGAGGGGGCCTTCCCTGAGCAGAGCGCTGCCCCACCAGAGGCCATGAAGGCAGACAAGGAAAAGCTGGAGCAAAACCTCGAGGAGTCCCAGGACATCAAAGCTCTGCAGAAAGACCTGGAACAATTTGCCAAGCCCCTGAAGCAGAAGAGGATCACTTTAGGATATACCCAAGCCGATGTGGGGCTCACCCTGAGGATTCTCTTTGGGAAGGTGTTTCACCAAACAGCCATCTGCCCCTTTGTACCTCAGCAGCTCAGTTTCTAGAACACGTGTAAGCTGTGGCCCCTGCTATAGAAGTGGGTGGAGGAAGCTGACAACATCGAAAATCTGCAGGAGGTATACAAAGCAGGGACCCTTGTGCAGGCCCGAAAGAGCAAGTGAACAAGTCTGAGAAGCAAGTGAGGTAATCTGGAGAACATGTTCCTGCCGTGCCTGAAACCCACCCCGATGCAGATCAGCTCCATTGCCCAGCAGCTCAGGCATGAGAAGGATGTGGTCTGAATGTACTTCTGCAGTGGTCGCCAGCAGGGACTGCTGGCCAGGAGAGGATTTTGAGGCTGCTGGGTCTCTTTTCTCAGGGGCACCAGTAGCCTTTCCTCTGGCACCAGGGTTCCAGTTTCATACCCCAGGCCATGGGGGCCCCCTCTTCATTACCCTGTACTCCTTGGTTCCTTTCCCTAAGGGTGGAGGCTTTCTCTGTGACCATCACCACTCTGGGCTCTCCCATGCATTTAAGCTGAGGTGCCAGCCCTTCCCAGGAATGGGGGGCAGAGGAAAGGGGAGAGCTAGGGAACAAGAGCCTGGGATTTGTACCAGGGCTTTGGGATGAAAGTTCTTCATTCACTGAGAAAGGATTTGGGAACACAAAAGTTGTGGGGGCAGGGAGTTTGGGGGGAAATAGTTGGAGGGAAGGTGAAGTCCAAGGATGCTCTTGTTTTTAATCCCCACATCCCTCATCACTTTGTTCTTAAAGAAACCTGGGACACAATAAAAAAAAAATGTTCATTATGAAACGCTCATCATGGAAAGTGTAACTTCCATCTGTTACCCTACAAAGTCACTACAATATTCTTGTTTCTACTCCCTGTTCTGTACTTTTCATTCTTGTGAGTTATTTATTTTATTCCCTGAATATTGTACCTTTCAGCTCCTGCACCTCCCTCCACTCCCTCCCCTCCAGCAGCAGCCAGTTTGTTCTCTGTATTTATGAGTCTGAGTCTGTTTTTGTTTTTTGTTTGTTTTGGTTTGTTGATTAAATTCCACATAGAAGTGAAATCTTTTGCAACATCTTGAAGATATTCTATACCAGTCCATATAGATCTCTTAGTTTTTCTTGTACTCCGTATTAGTCACTTATAAATATATGCTAAAATAAATGTATCCATTCCTGTTCATATGATTACTTTTTTCTATAATGAAGAATTTTATAATTGTATGTTTGTGAATATGTGCAAGTATGAGTTCCTAGGAGAGGGATTGTTAGTAGATGTATTTGAGTCAATGGTCAGATAGTTAAATGTCGAATTTCATGGTTATTGCCAAACTGTCATCCTTGAGATTGTACTAACAGCTACCCTGCTGTTCAGTCTGTGAAAGTACTTCTGTCTATTTCTCAACAACTGCTACCTGCTACATACTCATGGCATAAGGCAACCTGAATAAATTGCAATCTTTCTCTTATTATTGAGTTTGAGTATCTTTTCATGTGTTTAGTATGATTTGTATATCTTTTTCTGTGAATTGTCTACTAATGTTTTTTATCTATTTTGTGTAATTGTTGATCTTTTCCATACTGATATTAGTGAGTGATCTCTTTTACTAAAGAAATGATCTTTTTTTACTGTTGTATAAGTAATCGATATTTTTCTGTAATTATGCTTGTGATGTGTTTTAATACTTGTATACATTATAGAATGCTTTTGGCATGTAAATAGTATTTTTATTAATTTAGTATTAATTTATATTTTATATCTTGCTTAAAAAGACATTCCCCACTTCATTCATACCAAAATATTCTTCAACTGCTTTTTTATCACTTAATTTAACACTTAAGTTTTAGCACTTTAATGTTAGCACATCATTTTTGAGCTTGTATATCTTACATCAAAACTTTTGATCATCTGGAATTTATTTTGACATAGGCATTAAAGACATATGGATTTTTATTTGGTTTTCTAAATTTCAGGGGTTTTTATTTTTTATATTTATTTATTTAATTTTGTTTTATTATGTTATGTTAATCACCATACATTATATCATTAGTGTTTGATGTAGTGTTCCATGACTCATTGTGTATAACACCCAGGGCTCCATTCAGTATGTGCTCTCTTTAATACCCATCACCAGGCTAACAAATCCCCCCACTCCGCTCCCCTCTCCAACCCTCAGTTTGTTTCTCAGAGTCCAGTCTCTCATGGTTTGCTTCCCCACCTATTTCCCCCCCTTCATTTCTCCTTTCCTACTATCTTTTTTTTTTTTTTAACATATAATGTATTATTTGTTTCAGAGGTACAGGTCTGTGATTCAACAGTCTTACACAATTCACAGCGCTCACCATAGCACATACCCTCCCCAATGTCTATCACCTAGCCACCCCATCCCTCCCACCACCCACCACTCCAGCAACCCTCAGTTTATTTCCTGAGATTAAGAATTCCTCATATCAGTAAGTTCATATGATACATGTCTTTCTCTGATTGACTTATTTTGCTCGGCATAATACCCTCCAGTTCCATCCACGTCGTTGCAAATGGCAAGATCTCATTCCTTTTGATGGCTGCATAATATTCCATTGTTTATATATACCACATCTTCTTTATCCATTCAGCTGTCGATGGACATCTTGGCTCTTTCCACAGTTTGGCTATTGTGGACATTGCTGTGATAAAGATTGGAGTGCGTGTACCCCTTTGGATCACTATATTTGTACCTTTGGGGTAAATACCCAGTAGTGCAATTGCTGGGTCATAGGGTAGCTTTATTTTCAACATTTTGAGGAACCTCCATACTGTTTTTCAGAGTGGCTGCACCAGCTTGCATTCCCACCAACAGTGTAGGAGGGTTCCCCTTTCTCTGCATCCTCACCAACATCTGTTGTTTCCTGAATTATTAATTTTAACCATTCTGACAGGTGTGAGGTGGTACCTCATTGTGGTTTTGGTTTGTATTTCCCTGATGCCAAGTGATGTTGAACATTTTTTCATGTGTTTGGTGGCCATTTGTATATCTTCTTGGGAGAAATGTCTTTTCATGTGTTCTGCCCATTTCCTGACCAGAGTTTTTGTTTCTCGGATGTTAAGTTTGATAAGTTCTTTATAGGTTTTGGATCCTAGCCCTTTATCTGCTAAGACATTTGCCAGTATCTTCTCCCATTCTGTAGGTTGTCATTTAGTTTTGTTGACTGTTTCTTTTGCTTGCAGATGCTTTTTATCTTGATGAAGTCTCAATGGTTCACTTTTGCTTTTTTGTTTTGTTTTGTTTTTTATCTTGCCTTTAGAGACATGTCTAGCATGAAGCTGCTGCAGTGGGGGTCAAGGAGGTTTCTGCCCACATTCCCCTCTAGGATTTTGATGGATTCCTTTCTCACATTTAGGTCTTTCTTCCATTTTGAGTCTACTTTTGTGTATGGTGTAATAAAGCCGTCCAGTTTCATTCTTCTGCATGTGGCTGTCCAATTTTCCCAACAGTATTTGTTGAAGGGACTGTCTTTTTTCCCTTGGATATTCTTTCCTACT